ATTTCATAACATTTTCAGAAACTTCATTTTCTTTTTTAATGGTGGTTTTCCCAGCACTAGAAATACTGGAAAAGGTCCAAAATAAGCATTGCAAAAGCCTTTCTAAAGAATTTTAACGATCAGGCTTTGCAAATCTTCATTGAAATGTGAGTAATGGTAAGGATATTCGACTTGGTAGCAGCTTTAAGAGGCTTTACAGCAATCAGACCGTCACCCCCGATTCAAAGGGTGCTTTTGTTAAATGGAATGATGATATATCCACCATCTTTATCCTTCTCACATTGCTAAAAAAACGGATTTGCAATTACCATTATTCCTTAGTGATCAAAATGATTCAATATTTTGGACTTAGTTTATTCCGCTGCTATTTTTGCTTTGATAAAGAGCAATTGTATTAATAAAAAATGGAAATACAAATTCAAAAGTTCAAAACTTTACAATAAAGCAGAAGTAGAAACAATTTATAGTTGGTATAACTATAACTACACTTCTAAAAAAGATACATGAGTAAACTGCTGGAGCATCTGTGTTTATACCTTGGTAAACAATACTTTGACCAAGGAGGAAATAAGTTTCTTTGTTGAGCTTAACACCAAGTCACCAAGCTGGATACATGAATTCCAATGACTTTGCCATAAGCTATAAATCCAAAAAAGTACACTTCGAAGACAAGCTGCCATGAAGATTGAAGTGTCATGTGCTATCAAATCAAATATATAAAGATGAAATGCTAAATTTTTTTAACCATTCAAGGAAAGCTCACTAAACAATAAGATTTCCTTCATTTTCTTTTAACTTACATGAGTGAATTTCCCCCATGGCAAGTGATGCAATGATGTTCCAATCCTCTTATCATTTGCAAACTATGTATTCTGTATATGATGGCTTAAAAGACCTAATCCACTAGCATATTTCCAATTACAACTAGATCTAATGAAGAGTAGTTCTTACTTAAAATCATGGATGAAAGATTCAGCTATTCTTTTTTTATTTTGATGAAGGTAAGATTCCTGAATAGTGAAATTTTTACGAAGAGGAAAATATTCACCAACAACTTTATATCTTGGTTTTGAAACAACTTTTGAAACTTGTAAAATCCGTTTGAGAGAGACCAATCTTTGAAATGGATGTAGATTTATAGATAAGAGTTCCAAACTAAATAACTTTAATGATAGGACATTCACAGAAGAGAATGATTTATGATTTCTTGTTCAACCAAAAATAATGCAAAAAGTAACTCAAATGATGAGTATTTAAAACATCACTTTTAGGAATAACCATGTAAATTAGCTTCCAAACTCCAAACGAAAACCAGAATCTTCTGAGGAAGGTGCAATTTCCAAAGAAAATTCCAATATATTCATTTGCATAAGCTTTAGTTGTTGTGACAAACGCTAGCTTAATGAAACCCTCTTGAGTAGAATATGTCTTGAACCCTAGATGAGTTTATTATTTACATCAATGAATGAGATTAGAGTGCTAAATATGACTAAACAATTGCTTCATCATACAAAGCTTTTGATATAGAACTATTCTAACAAGAAGCAATCCAAGAGTTGGGATTTTTAATAATGAAATCAAATACTTTGTGAACGTTATAATCCCTTAAAAGATTTGGCTGAATGAGTTTTCCACCAATGAATATGAGTAAGAAAGATGGCTTTTTCATTGCTAACATTCCAATGAAGATGTTTTACAATGATGTTCGCAACTTTGTAGATGCCTTCCCAGTACCACAAAGCATTATAGGGTAATTTAAAAAAGAAACATCAATATTTGAGCAATTCATGAGTTGCAAAGTATTTGAGCAATACCACGAAGCATCATGGACACTACTCAGGTGAGGATGGGTATCCATGGCTTATTCAAGCTTCATCTTCTCAAAATCTTGCTGCTACTTGGATGATATTTTGGAAACTTTGTTGCCTCCCAAAATCAAGATTCTACTTTGGAACATTTAAGAACGCCTTTGATCTACTTTGCTCTTGGTTATATTCATACTGTTGATCATAGGGAACTTTGCAAAATCTCATCCTCCTGCGTTGGCCAAATTATTTCTTCAATGAACTTCCAGCTCGGTGATACCAAAAACATTTATTTTTTCACTAACTCCAATGTGGTCTGTACAAAAAATTTGAAATCAATTCTCATTACAAGCGAACGCTTGTCTTTGTTCTTTCACTTCTTTTAGTTTTCCACTTTATTTTTTTATTTTTCTTTTTCTTTTTTTCAACGTATTAGAACTATTTGTCATTTTATAAAAAAATTAAAATATTTGTTTTCAATTAAATTAAAAAATATAAATCTTTTATTTATTATTTATTTATAACAACTCTTATTATTAATATCATTAAAATCCACTTCTCTTGATTTATTTGAATAGAAAATATATATTATATATGTATAACAGACTAAATATATAATTCTTATCCTATCTTTAAGTAGTCATCAGCTTTGTTCGTGTGGAATAAATATGAGAAACTACACTACTCAATGACAAAATCACATTCACCAGGGCTGAACTTGGTGTAAGCCATATTACACATGCATATGGTGATCTCTGAAAATCAAATTTCTAGTAGAGATATTTTCAAGTACAGATTAAATCATACAAGGCAATTATGAGAATAAAATCTAAAAGGATTCAGCGGACTAAGATTTAAGATGCCCAATTGAACCTTTCGTAATAGCAATGAAGATGTGGAGAATGTTACCATTAAAACAAAGAAAAGATCATTGTAATATAAAATATGGCTACCCAACCACCCCAGAAGAGAGAATAATTTCTCTGCATATTTTTTAAACACTAGTAATACTAGTCAAAAATAATTCCCCCACCCCTCAAACCTACAACAAAGATACAATGAGCATCACTATACTCTAAATATATTTTTCTAACTTTCTTGATACATTGGAATTGAGTGGCCGGAAGTCTCTCCAGCCTCAAGTTGGAGTTTGAACGGATCTCACTCAGAACTGCATCCCCTTTCTCCATTTGTATTGCCTCCAAGGTGCTTCCCAGAAACATCTGCTGCCAGTCCAATTTCCAAGAGTTGGCCTGGCTCCTCTCCGCCTTCGTGTAATAGTCGACCAATATCTTTCAAAGAAACAACGTTTTCTGTCACAACTCTGGCAAAACTCGGCCTAGAAATTCTGGGGCTCTGGGGCATCGTTAACGGCATCTTGCAGGCCACTTAGAACATATTCAAACCTAGCAGGGGAAAAAAAAATAAACATGGTGAGATCCTAGGCAATAACAATTTTCCTCTCGTGATCAGAAGACTTTCAATTAATTCTCACCCTTGGATAAGCTGAGACTGACTCAAGGTGCCATCCTGAGACTTTGTAAGGCTCACTAGTAATTTGGCCAGAAGATCTCTTTCCGTGTCCTTTCTCTCAAACGAGTCTATGACCCATTGAGAAATCATTGAAGGATGATAGCTCGGAGAGTTTAGATCTTTCACACATAGCGCAACTTCTTTTACATCTCTAGCACTGGAAATCAAAGCATTCAATCAGAAAAACATACAACAAACTTGATGGATGGAAAACAACTTGATCACTGACATTACCAGACTAAGAAAACAAATATGTAGCTCCACACACTCAGAAATTTGAATTTTGATCATATAACACTCTAAATCCAAACACTACCAAAAAGCACTTGTTCGTACATGCCAAACGCACCAACATCACAAAGAACGCAAAACATGAAATATAAAAGTTTAGCTTTTCATGTCAGCACTCAGCAGTATGCGCCTGTATTTTGTCCCTTTTTTGCACAAGTCCAAACATTGTAATTGTAACTTCTGCATTTCATATAACAACTCTAAATCCAAACACTACCAAAAAGCACTTGTGCGTACATGCCAAACGCACCAACATCACAAAGCAACGCAAAACATGAAATTATAAAAGTTTAGCTTTTCATGTCAGCACTCAGCAGTATGCGCCTGTATTTTGTCCTTTTTTGCACAAGTCCAAACATTGTAATTGTAATTGTAACTAATATCTAAATGATGTTACACAGGTTGAAAAAAATCATAAATCTGCATTTCATAGCAGCCATAACTTCTGCAACCTTATTCAGAATAATGAAAGTAAGAAGTCCCAGCAAACCAACTAAAACCAGTACAGAGAGTAGTCAACAATAATTATAATGAAAGGCAGAACACTACTAAGCAGGTTCTTGGTTCTATGACGTGCACTATTGCAGATGGAAACATCAATGTATAGCAGACATAATTATATAGTTCAAAATATGAATATGAATCATATAATACTGGCTTTCACAACCCAAGCATTGTCTGAAATGGAAGATTTCTACATAAATTGTGACATCCACGTCAGGTCCTCATTCTCTTAACTAGAACACATTACTGATAGTTTTATACCTATATGGACATTAAAACACAGTTCAATTAAAATATTTTGCCAGATGTCAAAGTCATCTAGTTGTAGCAGCAGATGTAACAATTGAAATAGCAATGGATCCATGTAAAACACATCCGAAATAAGTTACAATATAAGTTAACTTAGAACTAATTTTGCCAACTAAACATCATTATAATTCCCCTGCAAAATATTTATCTCCAATTGTAGTCATTAACTTA